CCCCAAAACCCCAAAACCCCAAAACCCCATAGAGTCTAATCATCATCAATCAAGTCAAGTAAGTATTAAACGAGGCCATATATTTCAATAATTCAAAGAGTATAAAAGTATATACCTCTTTCGCTACATTAATAATTAATTAAAAGTACAGCACAACCTTGCATAATTCAATTATGGAAAATAGACCCCTCGAATATCTAGGTGAATCAGTCCCAAAGGACAACCCTATAGCACCAACACCACCTTTGGCATCAACTACTAAGCCGTCTAATTCAGTATTTATAATGATATAGGAGCCAACTTGCTCTTAAATATAGTCAGTCTTCAACCCGCAGTTAGAAAACAATTAAATACCAGAGTAGTCTTAGATATTAATCTAATAAGAGTTGGAATAGAGTTTTGCTGATGACGATAAGCTCCAAGATACTGAATCATTAGAGTTTGGTAATGAAACACTAGATGATTAGAATAAACGGATTTCATGCAGAAGCAAAGTAAATTTCTCTAAGTTGAATGAATCAGAAAAAGTCATGCGCCTATAAAATATGGCAAATCTAATTAAGAAACTGAAACAATAAGTAAGGCAACTCAAACAGAAAAAAACTAAAGGCATTTATAAATATTAGAGTAATAAGCTGCCAACAATTGGAGACTTCTAAAGGCTAGTCTTAACCCGCAAATCATCGTCTTAGCCCCTCCGCACTCCATTCCATGTTCCAGTTTCGGTGAATTAGTGCTCCTCTCAATAATAGGACTTATCTTCCACTAACAGTGGATATTACCAGAATAAAATATAATAACAGGTACCGTATTAACAAACCTACCTAACATGTGACCCACCGAGTTAATTCAATGCAATTACCTCTAATACTAATATTCCTATCACGTCTCTTCCAAAATATTAAGAATGTGATGCGAGACACAAAACATAATTTAATAGATCCAATGATGACTGCGATAGGAGATGTCAATAATAATAATAAATATAATCTAAGGATGGATTGAGGAATATGGATGTTTAAAATCCCAATCTATAAATTTAAATGTCGAGTCAAACTATTTTATCATAACAAAGTCACAGTCTACCCATTTAGAAGGCTTTAAGTCAAAATCAAGATCAATGGTTACCCTTGGTCTAGTTAGCCAATGGAAATTATTTTGAGACAAGAGATCAACCATTTTTTAATAATTAAACGGGTGCTACTGCAGCCTTAAAAATGACCCAGAACACATGTCATAATGGTGCAATATTTCAGAATCTAGCTCCTAATCTCAGAAATTAATACTGGAATTATAATATATCTAATTCTAGTAACTAGCTCGTAAACAATCCAAGGTTCTGATTTATTGCAGTAAGATAAATTGTCATCAATATCTCTCTTTATGCACTTTAATAAGACTCGAGCGCACATTTAAATTATTTTAAAGGTTTATTATTTGAATATTTAAGGAATCTCTAAGTATTATTTATGCATTTTCTTAAATACCTTAAAAATAAACTAATTTTAATATGACGGGGTTTTGGGGTTTTGGGGTTTTGGGG